GATGCTTTGCTTCTCTCTTCTTTGTGGAGGGTTAATCCAGTATAATGGATGTGCTCTCTCTGTGTTTAGGGGAGGGTTAATAATCCCAGTTAATGGATGATTCGCTCTCTGTTTTAGGGGGCGGTTCCAGTATAATGGGATTTTAGGGGAGGTTAATCCAGTATAAGGATGCTGCTCCGCTGTGTTTAGGGGAGGGTTAATAATCCAGTAAGAATGGATGTTTAGAGGGAGTGTTAATCCAGTAATAATGGATGCTGCTCTCTCTGTCTTTAGGGGAGGGTTAATCCAGTATAATGGATGCTGCTCTCTCTGTCTTAGGGGAGGGTTAATCCAGTATAATGGATGCTGCTCTCTCTGTGTTTAGGGGAGGGTTAATCCAGTATAATGGATGCTGCTCTCTCTGTCTTTAGGGGAGGGTTAATCCAGTATAATGGATGCTGCTCTCTCTGTCTTTAGGGGAGGTTAATCCAGTTATGTGGCTTATCAGTTATAATGGATGCTGCTCTCTCTTGTTCTTTAGGGGAGGGTTAATCCAGTATAATGGATGCTGCTCTCTCTGTGTTTAGGGGGGGTTATCCAGTTATAAGGATGCATTCTCTCTCTGTCTTTAGGGGAGGGTTAATCCAGTATAATGGATACTGCTCTCTCTGTGTTTAGGGGAGGGTTAATCCAGTATAATGGATGCTGCTCTCTCTGTCTTTAGGGGAGGGTTAATCCAGTATAATGGATACTGCTCTCTCTGTGTTTAGGGGAGGGTTAATCCAGTATAATGGATGCTGCTCTCTCTGTCTTTAGGGGAGGGTTAATCCAGTATAATGGATGATGCTCTCTCTGTGTTTGGGGAGGGTTAACATATAATGGATCGCTCTCTCTGTGTTTGGGAGGGTTAATCCTTTTATATGGATGTGTCCTCTTGTCTTTAGGGGGAGGGTTAATCCAGTATAATGGATGCTGCTCTCTCTGTGTTAGGGGAGGGTTAATCCAGTATAATGGATGCTGCTCTCTCTGTCTTTAGGGGAGGGTTAATCCAGTATAATGGATGCTGCTCTCTCTGTCTTTAGGGGAGGGTTAATCCAGTATAATGGATGCTGCTCTCTCTGTGTTAGGGGGGTGGTTCGTTAGGGTTTCGTTGGGGTAATAGGAGATGCTGCTCTCCTGTCTTTAGGGGAGGGTTAATCCAGTATAATGGAGCTTTGTGTTTAGGGGAGGGTGTAATCCGTATAATGGATTGCTTCTCTTGTGCTTAGGGGAGGGTAACATTATGGATGTTTAGGGGAGGGTTAATCCATAGTATATGGATGGCTGCTCTCTTGTTGGGAGGGTTATCCAGTATAATGGTGTTTTGGGAGGGTTAATCCAGTATAATGGTGCTGCTCCTCTGTCTTTAGGGGAGGGTTAATCCAGTATAATGGGATGCTTCCTGTTTGGGGGGGTAATCAGTATGGTTGCTCTTCGGTTAGGGGAGGGTAATCCAATATAATGGATGCTGCTCTCTCTGGCCCTTTTGGGGGGGTTAATCCATTTTAAAGGAATGGGTCTCTCTGGGGGTTTTAGGGGAGGGGGTTTAAACCAGTATATGGATGCTGCTCTCTCGGGCTTTTGGGGAAGGGGTTTAAACCCAAAAATGGGGTGCGCTCTCTTTGTATGGGGAGGGGTTTTTCCGTTAATGGATGCTGCTCTCTCTGTCTTTTTTGGGGGGGTTAACCAGTAAAGGGATGCTGCCTCTCTGTGTTTAGGGGAGGGTTAAACCAAAAATGGATGCTGCTCTCTTCCCGGGCTTTGGGGAGGGTTAAAAACCCGTTAAAGGGTGCTGCTCCTCTGTCCTTTTGGGGAGGGTTTTCCATAAATTTGGGTGCTTTTTAAACCGTTTTAAAGGGTGCTGCTCTCTCTTTTCTTTAGGGGAGGGTTTTTAAACCGTATAAAGGATCGGGTCTCTCTGTCTTTAGGGAGGGGGTTTAACCATTAAAAAGGATGCTGCTCTCTCTGTGTTTAGGGGAGGGGAATCTATAATGGATGCCCGCTCTCCTGGGCTTTAAAGGGAAAGGGGGGTCCAGTAATAATGGAAAGCTTCCTCTCTGTCTTTTGGGGAGGGTTTAAACCAGTTTAAAAGGATTCGGGTCTCTCGTCCCTTTTGGGGAGGGGTTTTCCGTAAATGGAGGGGGCTCTCTCTTCTTTAGGGGAGGGGTTTAATTTTCCCGTAAATGGGGTGCTTTTCCAGTATAAATTGGGGGGGTCTGCCCCTCTCTGTCTTTAGGGAGGGGTTAAACCCTATAATGGTGCCGCTCCCCCTGTCTTTTTTGGGGAAAGGGTTTAAACCGTAAAAATGGGTACTTCCTCTCTGTCTTTAGGGAGGGTTAATTTCCCGTAAATGGGTCGCTCTCTCTGTCCTTTTGGGGAGGGGGTTAAAAACCCGTATAATGGATGCTGCTCCCCTCTGTCTTTAGGGGGGGTTTTAAACCATATAAGGGTGCTGCTCCCTCTGCTTTAGGGGAGGGGTTTTAAACCAGTTAAAGGGGTGCTGCTCTCTCCCGTCTTTTTTGGAGGGTTTAAACCAAATTAATGGATTTCGGGTCTCTCTGTCTTTTTTGGGAAAGGGGTTTCCCGTTTTAAAAGGAAAACTGCTCTCCCCTTCTTTAGGGGGGGGTTAATCCAAAAAATGGATTCCCCCGCTCCCCTTGTCTGTAGGGGGGGGTTAAACCAGTTAATGGTCTTTCTCTTTTCTTGTAAAAGGGGGGGGTTAATCCAGTATAATGGATCTGCCTCTCGGCCTTTAAAGGGGGGGTTAAAAACCTATAAAGGGTTTCCCGCCCCGTGTTTTTGGGGGGTTTAAACCAGTATAAAAGGATGCTCTCTCTCTGTCTTTTGGGGAGGTTAAACCAGTTAATGGAGCTTAAAACCAGATAATGGATGCCTTCCCCCTCTTCTTTGGGAGGGTTTTAAACCGAAATGGATTCTGCTCTCTCTGTCTTTAGGGAGGGTTAAAACCAGTTTTAAAAGTGCTGCTCCCCCTCTGTTTTAGGGGGGGGTTTTAAACCAGATAAAGGATCGCTCCTCCCGTCTTTAAGGGGGGGGGTTAATTTCCCTATAATGGATTCTGCTCTCTCTGTCTTTAGGGGAGGGTTATCCCTTAATGGATGCTGCTTCCTGCTTTGGGAGAGGGTTAAACCATAAAAAGGAGCCTCTCTCTGTCTTTGGGAGGGGAATCCCGTATAATGGGTGCTTTAAACCAGTATAATGGATCTGCTCTCCTTTTGTCTTTAGGGGAGGGTTAAAACCAGTATAATGGGTGCCGCTCCTCTGTCTTTTGGGGAGGGTTAAAACCCCGTTAATGGATCTTCTCTCTCCCGTCCTTTTGGGGAGGGGTTTAAACCAGTATAATTTTGGGTGCTGCCCCTCCTGTTTTTTAGGGGAGGGTTAATCCATTTTTGGTGCTGCTCTCTTCTTTTCTTTAGGGGGGGGGTTAAACCCTATAATGGATACTGCTCTCTCTGTGTTTGGGGGGTTTAAACCAGGATAATGGAAAAGCGGGTCTCTCGTTTTAGGGGAGGGTTTAAACCAGTAAAAAATGGATGCTGTGTTTTATGTGTTGCTGATGTACTCTACATGTATTTTCTAAACTGTCTTTGTTGCTCTGCTCTGACACTCTTGCCCTTCCTTTCACATCTTTTTCATTCTCTCTCCCACTCTCTCCTCCACTCGCTCTCTTTCTCTGTCTCTCTCACCCTTTCACCCACCCACCCACACATCCCTTTGTGTCTATCCTCTGTCTTTTTCTCTCGCTCCTTGCCTCGATCTCATCCTCCCTTCTTCCCACACTCTTCCATCTCCTCCCTGTGACTCCCCCTCTCTTTTCCTGTCCTTCACCCTCTCCCTCTCCCCTCCTCCCTCTGACTCTCCCTCTCTGTCTCCTTTTCCTCTCCCTCTCCTCTTCTTGTTTTCTCTTCTCTTCTTCTGTCTGTCTTTTCTTTTCCTTTCTCTCCCCTTCTCTCTCTCTCAATCTCAATCTCTCTCTGTATCTGTCTCTCTCTCTGTCTCTGTCTCTGTCTCTGTCTCTGTCTCTGTCTCTGTCTCTCAGATCACAGTGAGTGTGTCTCAGGGGCGGGTTCGCACCCCCTCCCCCTCTCCTAAACCTCACTATAAAAGCTATGCCTACACTCAAGCTGCATATGTCAAGTCACCTGAACAAAAGAAGAGACGCTTTACTGAGCAGGTCTGTGTCTACGGCTAACTACCTACCCTGTCTCTAGTCTCAGCTGTAGCTCTCTCCACTCCTCCTCTCCTCCTCTCTCCTCTCTCCTCTCTCCTCTCACCTCTCTCCTCTCTCCTCTCTCCTCTCTCCTCTCTCCTCTCCTCTCCTCTTCCTCCTCTCCTCCTCTCTCCTCTCTCCTCTCTCCTCTCTCCCTCTCTCCTCTCTCCCTCTCTCCTCTCTCCCTCTCTCCTCCTCTCCTCCTCCTCTCCCTCTCTCCCTGCTTCCTCTCCGCCTCCTCTCTCCTCTCCTCTCCTCCGCTCCTCCTCTCGTCCTCTCTCCTCTCTCCTCTCCTCCTCCTCCGCCCTCCTCTTCCTCCGCTCCTCCTCTCCTCCTCTCCTCCCTGCCTCCTCCTCCTCCTCTCTCCTCTCTCCCTCTCCTCTCTTCCTCTCTCCTCTCCTCCTCCTCTCTCCTCTCCTCTCCTCCTCTCCCTCCCTCCTTCCTCTCTCCTCCTCTCTCCTCTCCTCCTTTCTCCTCTCCTCTCCTCTCCTCCTGGGTGTCCATCCATGGCTGAACAGAGTTGTCTGAGCCTGTGGCTACGTACCAGTTAGTCTTCATTACAGTTTAACACTTATCTGGGCATTGTGAGATATGAGGATCTGTGCAATACGACTACAATAAAGACGACCTGGCTTGGCCAGGCTAGGCCCAGCTCGGCCTACCTCCCCCCATCTCCCCCCCAGGCTAAATGAACAGTTATCTGGGTCTCCAGGCTCATCCCAGGTGTACCAGTGACTGACACAAATCTCAGAGTATGTCTGTGTCTACAGAGCATGTGGAGCCTCTGAACGGCATGGCATGGCACAGCACAGCTTGGCTAACAGCACCACAACACAACACACCAGGCGCTCTGTTTGTGCTGCTGACTAATGCACCAGTGTGTTTGGCTTTGTCACCGTGAGTCAATGTGTGTCTTTCTGTCTGTCTGTGTTTGTGTGTAGTGTAATTATACCTTTGGATAGAGTGTTGCCTTTTGTTTGTCTCTGTCTGTGCAGCAGGTGTGTGTGTGTGTGTGTGTGTGTGTGTGTGTGTGTGTGTGTGTGTGTGTGTTGTGTGTGTGTGTGTGTGTGTGTGTGTGTGTGTGCATGTGGGGGTGTCTGTGTTTCTGTGCTTCACACCTCTAATGTGTTTTGGCTCCATTCCTCATCACACTCTCTTCCCTTCAAGGCAGGAAGTCTTTAGACTGTTGAGACTCCCTAGGAGAGGAAGCCTTGTTAATGTAGTGGGGAACAACTATTTTGCCATTTCTAAGAAAGCAATTAGTTTATTGTCAGTGGTGAGTCTAACCACGCTCTTCAGTCCACACTCTCCTCTCCCTCTCCTAACCCTCTCTCTCCCCCTTCCCCTGCCCCTCTCCCTCTCTCCCCCTCCCCTCCCCTCTCCCTCCCTCCCTCTCTCCCCCCTTCCCCTGCCCCTCTCCCTCCCTCCCTCTCTCCCCCTCCCATCCCCTCTCCCTCCCTCTCCCTCTCCCCTCCCTCCCCTCTCCTAACCCTCTCTCTCTCCCCCCTTCCCCCTTCCTCCTCCCCCTTCATCTCCCTCTCTCTCCTTCTCCATCTCCCTCTCCCTCCATCTCCCCTCCTCTCCTCCTCCTCACCCCAGACCCAGCTGCTGCGTGGGGGCAGTCAGGATGACCTGGAGCGGGGCCTGAGCCCCCTGGCCCCTGGGGACACCCAGCTGGAAGACTACCAGAGCTCCCTGGAGGAGGTCCTGACCTGGCTGCTGTCTGCAGAGGACGGCCTGCAGGCCCAGCCCCCCATCTCCTCCCACGTAGAGGAGGTCAAGGAGCAGTTCCACACACACGAGGTAAGGACACCCCAGAGGGGATATATACAGTGGGGAGAACAAGTATTTGATACAAAAATCCAGAAAATCACATTGTATGATTTTTAAGTAATTAATTTGCATTTTATTGCATGACATAAGTATTTGATCACCTACCAACCAGTAAGAATTCCAGCTCTCACAGACCTGTTAGTTTTTCTTTAAGAAGCCCTCCTGTTCTCCACTCATTACCTGTATTAACTGCACCTGTTTGAACTCGTTACCTGTATAAAAGACACCTGTCCACACACTCAATCAAACAGACTCCAACCTCTCCACAATGGCCAAGACCAGAGAGCTGTGTAAGGACATCTGGGATAAAATTGTAGACCTGCACAAGGCTGGGATGGGCTACAGGACAATAGGCAAGCAGCTTGGTGAGAAGGCAACAACTGTTGGCGCAATTATTAGAAAATGGAAGAAGTTCAAGATGACGGTCAATCACCCTCGGTCTGGGGCTCCATGCAAGATCTCACCTCGTGGGGCATCAATGATCATGAGGAAGGTGAGGGATCAGCCCAGAACTACACGGCAGGACCTGGTCAATGACCTGAAGAGAGCTGGGACCACAGTCTCAAAGAAAACCATTAGTAACACACTACGCCATCATGGATTAAAATCCAAGCCAGCGCATGTCCAGGCCGGTCTGAAGTTTGCCAATGACCATCTGGATGATCCAGAGGAGGAATGGGAGAAGGTCATGTGGTCTGATGAGACAAAAATATAGCTTTTTGGTCTAAACTCCACTCGCCGTGTTTGGAGGAAGAAGAAGGATGAGTACAACCCCAAGAACACCATCCCAACCGTGATGCATGGAGGTGGAAACATAATTCTTTGGGGATGCTTTTCTGCAAAGGGGACAGGACGACTGCACCGTATTGAGGGGAGGATGGATGGGGCCATGTATCGCGAGATCTTGGCCAACAACCTCCTTCCCTCAGTAAGAGCATTGAAGATGGGTCGTGGCTGGGTCTTCCAGCATGACAACGATCCGAAACACAGAGCCAGGGCAACTAAGGAGTGGCTCTGTAAGAAGCATCTCAAGGTCCTGGAGTGGCCTAGCCAGTCTCCAGACCTGAACCCAATAGAACATCTTTGGAGGGAGCTGAAAGTCCGTATTACCCAGCGACAGCCTCGAAACCTGAAGGATCTGGAGAAGGTCTGTATGGAGGAGTGGGCCAAAATCCCAGCTGCAGTGTGTGCAAACCTGGTCAAGACCTACAGGAAACGTATGATCTCTGTAATTGCAAACAAAGGTTTCTGTACCAAATATTAAGTTCTGCTTTTCTGATGTATCAAATACTTATGTCATGCAATAAAATGCAAAATAATTACTTAAAAATCATACAATGTGATTTTCTGGATTTTTGTTTTAGATTCCATCTCTCACAGTTGAAGTGTACCTATGATAAAAAAATTACAGACCTCTACATGCTTTGTAAGTAGGAAAACCTGCAAAATCGGCAGTGTATCAAATACTTGTTCTCCCCACTGTACCAGTTTAGTTTATTTAGTATAACACATGAGGTAGGGACACCCCAGAGGGCATATATACCATTTGAGTTTATTTAGTATAACACATAAGGTAGGGACACCCCAGAGGGCATATATACCAGTTGAGTTAATTTAGTATAACACACGAGGTACAGAAGGGTTTCAAGTTCAAGACTTTCAAAACTTTATTGTCCATTATTGTCATGTGTTTTGTCATGTTTTATCATGCTTTGTTACACTGTGTATTTTTAAGAGCAATGAACACTAGGGACACCATAGAGGGGACATAGCTACAGGGCCTGCAGAAAGTATTCATACCCCTTGACTTATTCCACATTTTGTTGTGTTACAGCCTGAATTCAAAATGGATGAAAAAAAGAAAAATCCCACCCTACACACAATACCCAATAATGAAAAAGTGAAAACATGTTCTTAGACATTTTTGCAAATGTATTTAAAATGAAATGTACATAAGTATTCACAGCCCTGAGAAACAATACTTTGTAGAAGCACCTTTGGCAGCGATTACAGCTGTGAGTCTTTCTGCGTAAGTCTCTAAGAGCTTTCCACACCTGGATTTTGCAACATTTGCCCATTATTCTTTTCAAAATTCTTCAAGCTCTGTCAAATTGATTGTTGATTATTGCTAGACAACCATTTTTAGGTCTTGCCATAGATTTTTTTGAAGTCAAAACTGTACCTCAGCCACTCAACATTCCTTGTCTTCTTGCTAAGCAACTCCAGTGTAGATTTGGGCTTGTGTTTTAGGTTATTGTCCTGCTGAAAGGGGAATTCATATCGCAGTGTCTGGTGGAAAGCAGACTGAACCAGGTTTTCCTCTACGATTTTGCCTGTGCTTAGCGCCATTCTGTTTCTTTTTTATCCTGAAAAACTCCCCAGTCCTTAACGATTACAAGCATACCCTTAACATGATGCAGCCACCACCATGCTTGAAAATATGGAGAGTGGTACTCAGTAATGTGTTGTATTTGATTTTCCCCAAACATAACACTTTGTATTCAGGACAAAAGGTTAATTGCTTTGCAAATTAGTACATTTGCCTTGTTGCAAACAGGATGCATGTTTTGTAATATTTTTTATTCTGTACAGGCTTCCTTCTTTTCACTCTGTCAATTAGGTTAGTATTATGGAGTAACTACAACGTTGATGATCCATCAATTTTCTCCTATCACAGGCATTCAACTCTGTAACTGTTTTAAAGTCACCATTGGCCTCATGGTGAAATCCCTGAGCAGTTTCCTTCCTCTCCGGCAACTAAGTTAGGAAGGACGCCTGTATCTTTGTAGTGACTGGGTGTATTGATACACCATCCTGCTTTTTTATCAATAGGTGCCCTTCTTTGCGAGGCATTGGAAAACCTCCCTGTTCTTGGTGGTTGAATCTGTGTTTAAAATTCTCTGCTCGACTGAGTGACCTTACAAATAATTGTACAGTGTGTGTGGGATACAGGGATGAGGTAGTCATAAAAAATAATGTTAAACACTGTTATTGCACACAGAGTCAGTGAGTCCATGCAACTTATTATGTGACTTGCTATGCACATTTTTACTCCTGAACTTATTTAGGCTTGCCATAACAAAGGACATGAATACTTATTGACTCAAGATATTTCAGCTTTTCATTTTTAATTAATTTGTTTAAAAAAACATAGACATATATTTTAAATTCAGGCTGTAACACAACAAAATGTGGAAAAAGTCAAGGGGTGTGAATACTTTCTGAATGCACTGTATATTACTTTAATTTAGTATATAGTAATGAATTACAAAACAATGAAAAAAGAAAGGAAAGATGAAAGGGAATATTTGTGCAGGTAGAAAACCTGACACTGTGTTTCCCCCCTGTGTGTTCATTATATACAATAACATGTACTGTGTGTTCCTGTGTGTGTGTGTTCCTGTGTCTGTGTGTGTGTCCCTACATGTTTGCATGCCTGTGTGTGTGTGTGTGTTCCTGTGTGTGTGTGTGTGTGTGTGTGTGTGTGTGTCTGTCTATGTGTGTGTGTGTGTGTGTCTGTGTGTGTGTGTGTGTGTGTGTGTGTGTGTGTGTGTGTGTGTGTGTGTCTGTCTATGTGTGTGTGTGTGTGTGTGTGTGTGCGTGCGTGTGTGTGTGTGTGTGTGTGTGTGTGTGTGTGTGTGTGTGTGTGTGTGTGTGTGTGCGTGCGTGTGTGTGTGTGTGTGTGTGTGTACATCCCTTCCTGCCTGTGTTCTCTCAGGGCTACATGGTGGAGCTGACATCCCACCAGGGCAGTGTGGGCAGGGTGCTGCGTGCGGGCAGTGCCCTCCTGGGTGAGGGGCGTTTAACAGAGGAGGAGGAGAAAGAGGTCAGGGAGCAGATGAACCTCCTCAACTCCCGCTGGGAACACCTCAGAGTGGCTAGCATGGAGAGACAGAGCAGGTAGGAGTGATGGGATTGGGATGGATGGATACCGACCACACACACACAGACATGGATGGATGGATGGATACCACCCGGAATGGATAAAAATGGACACACACACACACACCACAACACACATTAATCATTTAGTTAGTCAGTTAGGCAGACTCTCGTATCCAAGATTGGACTTACAGTTTAGTGAGTGCATACATTTTTCATACTGGCCCCCCTGTGGGAATCAAACCCACAACCCTGGTGTTGCAAGCGCCATGCTCTACCAACTGAGCTACAGACAGACAGACAGACAGACAGACAGACAGACCAGACAGACAGACAGACTACAACAGACAGACAGACAGACAGACAAGACAGACAGACATACAGACAGGAATACATCATACAGACAGACAGACAGACAGACAGACAGACAGACATACAGACAGACATACAGACAGACAGACAGACAGACAGACAGACAGACAGACAGACAGACCGACAGACAGACAGACAGACAACGACAGACAGACAGACAGACAGACAGACAGACAGACAGACAGACAGACAGACAGACAGAGACAGACAAACAGACAACCTATGGACCATACCTACATTAGGGTGATTATCACCTGCCTCCCTCTTGGTAATCTCTGCTGGTAATCATTGAGAGCATGTGTTAAGGCATTAATTAACCAGGGAAGCCAATGCATTATCCCATTCCCAGTGACCACTCCATCACTTCCTATCTCTACAACGCCTGACCCCTCCATAATGACTCCACACATACACAGGGTTGGGGAGTAACAGACTACATGTACTGATTACAAAACAACTGTAACTCTAATCCGTTACACTACAAGCAACAATACTGTAATCAGATTACAGATACTTTTGAAAAACTAGATGAGTACTTCTAGGATTACTTCTAAATTCAGAAAGGATGTTTGCGAAACAATTCTTTATGACAACTTTCGATTTTCTCAATGACATTCAAATCATCATTGAAAAAAGGCGCAAGTTTGTTCCGCCTGAGCGAGTCTGACAACAAGTCAGAGACCACTATGATGACACACCAAATGCGTTTGATGGATCGCGGGAAAAGAGCAGGAATAGGCTTTTATAGGCTAGATTCCAAGCTATGTCTTCCAATGGTGCGACTGCTGTCGGCATCCAAAGATTATCCAACTTGAATAAACGCTTGGAGGTAAGGACGACAGCACTGGGGTAGCCTACCAGGCGATACGGATATCACTTATTACTGATATGTAGGCGCCATAGCGCATTGATGTCAATCACACTGCTGCTCTCTCATTTAGCTATTTGCGCCTTATGGATTGTGGATGTTGTGGATGCGGATGGCTGTTCACAAATGTATATGTGTATTTTAACCCAATACAGATTGAATATAAGAAGTTTAAGCTGCCTGTCAATCATTGTTTTTGAAACCAGTGGACAGCCAGTGAAATAATGCGCTCTTGCAACAGCTGCATAGTGCGGATCCCAGCCTATGGAATAAAAGCTTGAGGGAGTTCCCCCCTTCTAAACTCCTCTGTGGTACTATTGATATATTTCCAAGTCCTCTTCTTGAAGTTCAAGGGGTATTCAATAAATTATTATCTGTAGTAGAAAGCAATGGGTTAGAAGAAGCCTACATAACCAACCCATAAAGTAAAATGCTAAATCCATTTATGTCCAGCTATTTAAACACTAATATTGACCCTGCAGTAGATGTCGTTCAATTGGTATTATACATTTTTGTCTTCTTCTAATTCCTCTAAAGGTGAAAGTAATCTAAAAGTAACTGAAAGTAATCTGATTACGTTACTGAGTTTGGGTAATCCAAAATTACATTACTAATTACAATTCTGGACAAGTAACTAGTAGCTGTAACAGATTACATTTAGAAAGTAACCTACCCAACCCTGCAAGTACACAGACACGCAGGCAGGCACACACACACACACACACTTGTGCACGCACCCACACACACACACACAAGCGCACACACACGTACACACACACACACAAACTCCCCTGAAAGCCAGCCTCGCTCTCTCTGGGTGAGAAAGATGTCTATGTCCTTGAAGGTAATATTATGTTTTGAATAGACCTCAGCTGCAGCTCTCTGTGAGGTGTCTAGTTAGGATTCCGCTGTACTCCTGCCCCCTGCCCTCTCTCCTCTCCTCTCCTCTCCTCTCCTCTCCTCTCCTCTTTCCCCCCTCTCCTCTCCTCTCCTCTCCTCCCTTTCCCCCCCCCTTCCTCCCTCTCCTCTTCCCCCCCTCCCTCCCTCCTCCCCCCCTCCCTCTCCCCTCCTCTCCTCTTCCTCTCCCCCCCCCTCTCCCCTCTCCTCTTTCCCCTCCCTCCTCTCTTCTCTTTTCCTCTCCCCCCTCCTCCCCTCCTCCCCTTCTCCTCTCCCTCCTCTCCTCTCCCTTTCCCCTCCCTTTCCCTTTTTTCCTTTCCTTTTTTCCTTTTCCTTTCCTCCTTTTCCTTTTTCCTTTCCTTTTTCCTTTTCCTTTTTCCCTTTCCTTTCCTTTCCTTTTTTCCTTTTCCCTTTTCCCTTTTCCTTTCCTCTCCCCTCCTCTTTCCCCTTCCTCTCCTCTTTCCTCTCCTCTCCTCTCCTCTCCTCTCCTCTCTCTTTCCTCCCTCCTCCCTCCCCCCTCCCATTTTTCCTTTCCCCCGTTCCTCCTTTTTCTCCTCCTCTCCCTTTCCCCTTTCCCCCTCCCCTTCCCCTCTTCTCCCCTCCCTTCCCTTTATCTTTTTTTTCCTCTTTTTTTTTCTTTTCTTTTTTTTCTTTCCTTTCTCTTTCCTTTCCTTTCCTTCCTTTTTTTTCTTTCTCCCCCCCCTTTTTTTTTTTTCCTTTTTTTAAAAAATTTTTCCCTTTCTTTCAAACCCCCTTCTCTTTCCTTCTCTCCCATTTTTTTCCCTCCCCCCCCCTCCCCCCCTCTCCCCCCCCCCGGCCCCCCCCCCCCCCACCCCCCCTCCCCCTCCCCCTCCCCCTTTTCTTCCTTTGCCCGTTCTTCTTCTTTCTTCCTTCTTCCGTCTTCCTTCGTCCTTCCTTCCTTCCCAATACCTTTTTTCCTTCTTTCCCTTTCCTTTTCTCCCTTTAAAAGGGCCCCCCCCTAATAGATTGTTTAAAAAGATTTGGTTGGAAAAAAAGTTTTTCCTTGTTCTTGAGATTAACCATGTCTAGCCCTTTTTGGGCCAGGAAATTTTTTCGGATAAAAAGGATTAGGAAAAAGGAAAAAACCTGGGGATGGGGGGGGGGTAAGAAAAGGAAAAGAGAGGGGAGAGAGATAAAGGGGAGAGGGGAAAAAGGGGGGGGAAAAAAAAAGGGAGAGGGGGGGGGGGGGGGGGTTTAGGGAAAGGGAAAGAGAGAAAAAGAAGAGAGGGGGGGGGGGGAGCGGGGAAAAAAAAGAAGAAAAAGGAGGGAAAAAGGGGGGGGTAGTGGGGAAAGAGAGTTAAAAGAATAGAAGAAGGGAGGGAGGAGGGGGGGGAAAAAAGGGGAAATTTTTTTTTTTTTTTGGGGTTTTTTTTTGGGTGGGAGGAGAAAAAGGGAAATTCTTTTTTGGTTGTTTATTTGCCTTGTTGTGGTTTTAGGAAAATGGAGGATCGTAGCCCAAAACCCCAACTTGTCAAAGCAAAGGTTGGGTTTTAATTTTTAAAGATGAGTATCCTATCACCCCCCCCTGCTTCCCCCGCTTGGCGAAGGTTTTCCCGCCTTCCGTTACCTAAGTGACCTTCCCTTTTCTTTTTTCCCTGTCTTTTTTTGTTTTGCCCGCCCTTTCTCTTTTTTTAGGGTCGTTTTAGGGTCGTTTTGGCCACCTTTGCTTATTACTTTCTGTTACAATGACAGTAAAATTCACCCCAGGAATTAAAGTGATGGGGAATGTGGTTTTAATAGCATCTAACTGATGGAGCTCTTCCTGCATGATGACTTTTACTGTGATAGAGAACAGACATGATGGTATTACTGCAGGCTGGGATGAGATTACTCTTATCCTAGATGGAGCTAGATACTGGTCATAAAGCATCAGAACGCCTATAGAAACCAGGTGGAGAGGTGGCCAATGGAATGAAACATGTATAGCTAAGTAGAATGTCTTGTTGAAAGGAGTTGTATGTGATGCTGAGAGTAACACTGGGTTCCATTCTGTACCTAGTCTATCTGTAATCTCTTAGGTGCTGGTTCAAATCCGGCTCCAAGGACCATGAACAAAACAAACCCTATTTTCTAATGTGTGTGTTCTTCCCCTCAGCACCTGGGAGACCGGTGGGCAGCCATCTGCAAGTGGACAGAGGAGCATTGGGTTCTGCTACAGGAGATCCTGCTCAAGTGGCAACACTTCACTGAGGAGCAGGTAAGGATAGAGAAATGGAATAAAACACATAGAAAAGACATCCCTGTTCAAGTGAATGTTCTGACAATGGGTTGACTGGCGGCCATATTGGTCAGTAGAGAGCTGCAGGCGGGTGTTGCGGGTCAGACCAAGGTGAGACTACACACAGGCCTTTGGAACAGACAGAGATTCTTCTATGTTCAGAGGTTCAAACTCTTATAAATGTCTGATGGAATCCACCCTCTTACCTCTCTGAGATCAATCTTACAGAGCTGTCAGGTTTCCACCATGTTGCTTTAACCTCTCTGATGATGTCAGATCAGAGGTCAGATCACCTTGAACAGGGAGGAAATGATGGATACAAGTTTGATGAATTGCAACAGCACCTCTCCCTTCACCTATCTGCCCTTATTCACCTCATCTCTCCTATTCTCTCTCTCTCTCTCTCTCTCTCTCGCTCTCGCTCTCGCTCTCGCTCTCAGCTCTCGCTCTCGCTCTCTCTCTCTCTCTCTCTCTCTCTCTCTCTCTCTCGCTGTCTTTGTATCTCTTTCTCTGTAGTGTTCGTTTGACTCATGGTTGACTCAGAAGGAGGAGTTGGTTCTGTCCATCCAGACCAGTGGCATCAAGGAGCAGAGTGACAAGGTGGCCAGCCTGAGAAGACTAGCGGTGAGTGACAGCTCCTTTAGCC